TAGAAGGTAGATTTCAATGCCACTTCTTTGCATTAGCAAGATAGCTTGCAAGAAGAGGGAGCTACTCAGGCATTCTGTGCAGTACCATTGCTAGACCACCAGCTCTGCAGCCAGGATTAGCAGCTTCCTCTTGAGCAGGTGATGCAAAAGCTCACAGAACAATATAATACTGTTAGCTCATGTCAGTCACCTTTGCAGTGATTAAATGTAGGATTCTGTGAAGATTTTGAACCTGGTCTTTCAAGTTCAGCAGCATAAGATGTGGTACTACAGTGTCACCTCACTTCAGCTGAAGGGTCCCGTTTCAGGAGCTGTCTGAGAAAAGTTAGCACCTTGCTAACTGTACATGGAAGTCCTGCTGAGATGCTACACAAACTAGTCATTAAACTGCATTGCTTCAAACATCTAAAGGCATTTGTTTCACGTATTCCACTCCTCCTGCAAGGAGCTTAGAACAACTTATGTATGGATCCAAGCAACCCTGTTCTGACTGCTCATCAAGCCAGACCATGCATCTGTGTCATGGACAACTGTACCAATCTTTCGGCAATTTTCTCTTGCATAAAGGAGAGTATGGGTTTCATCTTTCTGCTAGGTGGGAAGCTGCTTCAGCAAACCAGAGTTAAAAGGAAAAGCTGTTTCCTGACAGCTGAAGACCAAATAATACTTCAGTCTGTATATTTCTGTCAGTATACTTCAGTGTTCTTCAGTACCCAAACTGCAGGCAGGCCAGATAGTGGACTGCTGACAGCCTCCTTAATTACCACTGTTAAGACACCGGAAGACCATGACTGGCTGCAATGGGGAGAACTCAATTCCACCATGGGCTGGAATTATGGGTAATTAAGGACCCTCTTTCTTATCCCTACCCCTCTTTACAGTTCATGCACTGGTGTTCTAGCTTGGCACCGGCTATCATTTTGGTTAATTAACATTCCATTCATTAGTTGTACCTGGACAAAAAAGAGTTAATGGAGCACGCTTTATGCAGTATTGTGAGTGTTAAATTGCTTACCCATTAAATGTTCTTACTTAAGGTTATATTGATAAAGATCCATTGAAAACGATTCAGTGACATGTACATTTTTATAACTCAATTATGGTAATATACTTATTGGCCCAACTAAAGTTACAAGAAGCTGGAAGCTTTCAAATTCTTCAAATCTCCTCATCAGGTAAGATCGTACCTTGTATTTTTTTCAGCACCATCAAGCAGGTAAAAGGGACACAGCCTCCCACAAGTAAGTGGCATAACCACTTTTGAGGCAAGATCACAGCACACACCCTTGGGAGATATCCTTTTGAAATAAAAGAGAAGATAGGTACATAGTGGAAGGCATGGTATAATTAATGCTAGGAAGCTGAAATGCTGCCACACTGTTTGCATTGCTACCTCTCCCCCTATAAAAAGAGCAACCACATTTTTATTGACCACAATTAGTTGAGGCTTTCATTTTATATCACTGTGATATTAGAGTTTAGACTCATATTAGAACTATTACTGCGAGGGCAGAATAGTTCTGTCCAGAAAAGGACAAAATTAAGATTGCAAATCTTTCTCGTTCGTTGTCTCTTTTTACACAAAAGTGATACAAAGAATTGGTGAAGTATAATGGTTTAGACCAAGGGCTGGAAAGTTTCTGTTTCAAATGTTACCTCTGCTATACATTTACCAACTGGCCTGAAAGGTAAGCCACTTTCCCGTAGCCTCTCCGGCTGCAAAATGATGACAGAATTACTGATATGCCAAACTTTTCTACATGAGCTGTTATTCTGCTGCATCTACTTTCAGTTTCATCAAAGAAATAAGAGCCAGCCTCTTCAGAGATTTTCCTTTCCTGTTTCTCCATTATAAAAACACTGGTAGTACTGTGCTATAGTGGAATAACAATTTCACAAGGAATAAATAAATAGTAACGTTCAGAAATGGAATGCCATTTTTGTTGCTTTGCCCCTCCCCGAAGCACTTGTAAAAAAAGAAGGCATTAAGAATCTATAAACAACCATAAGGAATTATGAGCGCACAGTATTCACCCTGTTTAGAAAAGGCACTAATGACGGGCTGCTATACAGATGATTAAGAAAGTTATAAAGGGGCACGGTGCCTTGACTACTCTAACGTGACATGTAAATACTTAAGCTGAGTTAAGGACAATTGGAAGATGACCCATACCCTCCTTTATGCAAGAGAAAAGAAGCCATGCTCCTCCCTACTCTTTCATGGCTTCCCTTTCCATTTCCTCTTTTCCACTTCACCATGGCCTCTCAACCAACAAACTAAGACTAGCTTTTGACCATGGTTTTGGATTCTGGCTTGAAGGATGAATGCCAATCATAGTTGGTCAATTCAAAATGTCACAACAAACTCTAGTCAGCATGGCACAGAATGTTGAATAGGAAGCTGTAGACAGGAGAGGCAAGAGCATACAAACTTCCAGCTCATTTTTGATCATGGTCTGCAGTACCATCTGATTTGAATGCATCATTATAAATCTCTTCTCAAGATTAAAACCATATCTATGTAATAGTAAAACTCTTAGAACTTAGTGGAATTTACTTCTGAAAAATCCTGTCTTTAGGCCTGGGCTGCTGATCTACTTGGAATACAAAACTATTTTGCATGTAGCAAAGGATGTCATTTGGTGAGGAATTCCTTTGTATTATTATATTCCTTCCACTGTGAATGTCAAATAGACTGACATTGATATATTTCCTTCACAGTACATACTTACAAGCTATAACTTTTATACCCTTGACCTAACCTACTTTTTCCAACAGGCACTGGATCTGTATTCTAAACTGATATGTTTCTTTTCTTGCCCTAGATTTTAGAAAATGTTAACTTCTCAGGGTTTTTTCCCCTTTTCCTTCTACATGTTTCCTTGTTTGTTGGAAAATACTGAGTCAGGTTCCCAGCAATCCTGTAAGCCAAAAGGATCCTGAAAGTTTTATTCATGCCTTGGGATGGAAGCAAAGCCTACTTAGGGGGGAACTCAGATTTTGTGAAGCAAGTATACTTTTATCTGTGTACCTCAGAAATACTTAAAAGCTTGGATTAATAGTACTGGCAAATATACTCATGAAGTGAAACTGTACTAATTTCCCTTTCCCTACATGTCCTACATCTTGCTGTCAGCATGCATCTAGCAGATGTGTAGTATACCAGGTACAATTACTTAACCACAAGAGTAAGGTGTTCTTTGCTAATAAAAAGTCTGGCATTTAATTTCCTAGGCAAGGCCAAATCGGCTGTAATTCAATCAGACATGTCCTAACATGTAAGAACTTCCTCCATTGGGACTTGGTTTTGCTCTAGGACATCCATTAACTGCACAAGGTGTGTAGTACTTTTCACTCTTTCAATGGCCACACCCTGACCACTGTGCAGCTTGATTGTTGTTGAAATAGTTCTCAATCTTATCAGACACACCAGGCACTTTAAGTATCATTACAACTGAACATAGTGAGATTTACTTCCTATAAGCATGCACAAGATAGTGCTTAAAGATGCTGGGACTCAAATCTGTAAGAGAAGCAGTCCCTACTCCTACCCCCACCCATCTGGAAGCTCTTTTCTGAGATGTGCAGCCTGCTTGCATTTCCACCTCCTTGTTTTCAATAACGAAAGCAAGACGATTGAGATTACAGGTCTCCATCAGAGTTCATGAAATAATTGTGAAGAGACTACACTTGCTCAGGCACACTTTCTTTCACCTCGTTTTACTTCCTACACTCGAGACTTGAGGCTAAGCTTTGGTACACACTTTAAACCCTCAAGGCTGAAGTCAGCACCCTGTATGTAGAAATTGCACCCCCCCCCCCCCAGCACACACGGCCATGGGTGCCTTCTGAGGTGTCTGTCTTCCCAATCGTGGGTTTAAGAACCGGCATCCAGTGGTCACCATGTTCATTTCCTGAGAGTGCCGCAAAGACGGGAGTGAATGCAAACCTAACTCTTCTCCCCCAGAAATGCAAAGAAGCGCCTATAGCTTGGTAATCGTAGGAGTGGAAAGACAGCGTGGGGGAGCAGAGTGAGAGGACGGAGAGTGGGCTGTTGCCACTACATTGTCATCTGCTCGGCAGCGACTGTCTTGCCGAGCAGCAGAGCTACTTTTGCTTCTTCCAAATTCCACATGTGCTTTCATGCTTATGAAGGTTGGAGGGGCCCTGCCCGGAGATGTGCATTATCCACGTACATCCTCTCAGTGGGACTTAACTGTTATCTATCGGCATTTATTTAACTGCAATTTATTTTCCGGTTCGGCAAGCTAGCCTCTGATCATAACCTAGTCTCATAAGGTCTCCAAGCACATGCAAGAGATTGGCACGCAGCGGGGCCTTTACTTTCGCGGCGGGGGGGAGGCTGCCTCTACATCGTTTCGACACCCCTAGACACTGGCTAGGGCCAATTGACCAGGCGGCGGTGGGGTATCAGGAATAAGACAGCGCAGACGCCCTGCCTTCCTCTCCCGAAACCTGGTGGCGCTGTTCCCGGAGGGGAGGCAACGAACCGCGCGCGGAGCAGAGGAGGTGCTTTCATGAGCGAAGGAGGCGCCGCTCCGGCCGCGGAAAAGGAGTGCAGGTCGCGCCCACCCCCCGCCGCGTCCCGCCTTCCGCGACAGGGGAGCGAGTCTTAGACCTGCCGCTCTCGCGGTTGCCCGCGAAACGTGGAGGTCTGCGAAGGGGTATTTCTCGCTTTGTGCAGCCCCGTCTGCAGCAGGAAGGAAGGCGGAGCGGGGAAGAGCCACCCGAAGAGGAGGAGGAGGCCGACCCCGCCCAGCATCTTCCTCTGCGCCGCTACCAGCTCACCTACGCCGCCGCCTGCCTGGCTCCCCGGGCGGCGGCTGGTGGCGCTGCAGGAAGAGCTGCTGGAGCTCCGTCGGCAGCTCCCGGAGGCTTGCTTCCTCCTCGGGGCGCCGCTGGCAGCGGCGGCGGGGCTCGGCTTGAAGGGGGGTGCGCACGAGCCGAGCCCCCTCCCGGATTAGGTGACTCACCCCAGGATGCTGCGGTTCCTACGCAGGACCTTTGGCCGGCGGTCGATGCAGCGTTACGGGCGAGGCGGCGGCAGCACCACCGCCGAGGAAGGAGACGAGCGCGATGGGGCGCCGAGGGAGGCAGGGGCAGCCTCGTCGCTCGCCTCCGCCGCGCACAGCGCCCTGACCGTACATCACATCCAAGCAGCTGCGGCGGGGGGCAAAGGCGCGCTGCACTGCCGGGTGCAGCTGCTCGACGGCGTCGAAGTCAGCGTGGAGCTGCCGGTGAGTTGAGCAGGGCAACGAAAGCGGCAGCAGACCTGTTCTCCGTTGCGGAGACAGGAACCTGAGGTCTTTCAGGCGAGGAGTCATCTCCCCATATTTTCCGTGCAAATACCTTCCAACCGTCCGTGGTCGCTCTCGACTTTGCCCAGGCCATCGCATGCACCTGACGCTTCTCGTTCCCCGCAGCCTGCCAAGCTCGTCCTCGTTCCTTTCTCCCACGTGTATTTGCAGCGCCCTGAAGATAGTCTGGCAACGACTGTCTTCCTTTACGTTCCGTGCATGCTACTGGCGTTTTTCCGTGCCGTGTATGCGCCCTCCTCCCCCTGACATGCATGCGAGTGCAACGCCCCTTCGTCCCGGGAGCATTTTGTAGCCATTCAAAGTGGACAGTGGTTGCAAGTGGCCCCTCCCCGTACAGGGCCTGCGACCCCCTTCCCGTTGCAACTGGCTTGCATCAGGGTGCCACTTCTTTGCCATAGCAGGGTCTCAATCCGTCCAGTTTCCCGGTTGTCGAAGCCGTTCTGCAGCTGGGGCCTTCCGTAATTAGGACCCGTTGAGATCCTAATTAAGAGGGTGGGGGAGCAGTCTTGTGCTTAACCCCTCCCTTCTCAGGGCCTGTGTTTTGCCAAGTTTCCTTCCTCTCCCTCGGGAACGGTCAGTGCGTACATGTAGCGTCGCTTGCAAGAGAAAAAACAAACCAGCTGCTTGCGAGCGGAGGGTTATTTATTTTATCTTTGTTTTGTTTTTTGGGGTTCACTTACTCGGGCGGGTGGCGTGATCTACATGTTCGGATTATGTTTGCCTGCGGCAGATTGGACCTAAGGGACCTGCCGAAGGAGGAAAGGAACGGTGTCGTGTTTCATTTTGCGCGGTCGCGATCGCACCTTTGAAAGGGCGGGCTCCTTTTCTGGCTCCTTGCTTGGTGCTGGGGAAATTTCTCCGACGTCGTGCGATCATTCTGCTCACAGAATGAATTCTGCGGCCGTGGGATCGAGTGTAATCTAGGCATCGCAACAGCCAGCGATCAGTCGTGTCCGTCCCTTGTTACTTACATCAGCGAGGGATGCTGGATATGCCGCGGTGGAGGGAAGTTTCTTGAGGGCAGCTCAGGACTCAGTTCTTATCAGTTGTTGGCTTAGTTTGAATGGCTAAGCACCAAATGCTGCCCTTCCCCATGACAAGGCCCATTGGAGAGCCCTAGTTGGCATGGATGATGCTGAAATATGCCCTGGCCAAAATGCCATCTCTTGATTCTCCCTTTTCTTGCATCCTTTTAGAGGCGTTTTTCGTGTCTTCTGCATTGCCAGTGAAAGCATATTGACATGTTGCTGTTTTTGTGAGGTGTTGCTTTTTATTTTATTTCCTTAAACTATCTGAGACTTGGGCATAGACATGGGTCTGGTAAAATAAGATTCCTGTCCCTCCATAAAAATAATCATGCTGCTCAGGACCATGTTAAAGCACAGATCATTTATTAAAGGTTGCCGTAGAAATAAGGTGGGGCTTTTGATTTTTTTTCTGTAATGCAACAGAGTTCTCTCTGAATTTGTATAGGCAGTAAGCCAGGATTCTTGTGTTGTGAGCTTCTGCATATAAACAGTGCAAACCAGTTGCATGTTTATTCAGACTGAATTCCTGCTGTGTGGGGCTTACTCCCAGGTAAGATTGCATAGAACTGCAGTATAAGCAAGTTTATATGTTTTAGGTGTCATGGGCAATGCAGAAATACCCAGCTGAGTGTCATGGATTGTGATTGTGCATAAATTATTTATGATACACTTGTTGCTAAAGAAGTAGAATGGTTGTGAGGGTTAAATTACCACACCTTAAAGTAAATAGAATGCTAGTGCAGCAGTATTTAGTATTTGCATTCAGATTCCTGGACTGCCATGATTAGTTTTGATACTCAGGAGCCAAAATGTTTTCCTAAATTAGGGCAGCCTGTCCTGAGGGAATGACTGCAAGGCACAGGACCCTGAAATAATTTATCAGAGAACTTGTCTGAAGGCTGACTGCTGGAGTGTGAGTGACTGCATGCAGTTTGGGCAGTACAGTACAGATTCATGGTTATAGGATCTGGACTTGGGTTTTCATTTTGCTCATAATTTAAAAAAATCTTCCTTTAATTTTAAAAGCTTGCAGTACAATTAAGGTTACAATCAATCATCACCTTCAGAACAGAAACAAAAAGATCATTACACTAAATGCCTATAAAAGCAGAAGGAGTAATGGAAAGAAAAGCAAAAATTAACACCCCCCCCATGCAAAGCAACCAAATACAACAGCTAATTAAACTTGAGAGAATAAGGGAGCAGTCCCATGCCCCCTGGACATTGCCTGTTTTTCAGATTCCCACCAAGAATTGAAGCTCTCTTCACCTGCCCCATCCAGCTGGCATGGAAGTATCTGCACCAGCTGCTCTCCAAGGCCAGGAAAGGAACCTGGAGAAGGGTAAAAGAGGGCAGGGAAGGAAGAGACTGGGGAGCCCAGGATAAGAAGTATCCTGCAACTACTCCAGCATCTTTACTAGAGGGGCAAAAAATCTGCCTAGTGAAAATGCCAGTGTGGTGTAGTGGTTAAGAGCACGGGACTGGGACTCAGACGATCTGGGTTCTAGTCCCCGCTCGGCCATGGAGCCAACTGGGTGACTTTGGGCCAGTCACAGACTCTTAGCCCAACCTACCTCACAGGGGTGTTGTTGTTGTGGGGATAAGATGGAGGAGGAGATGCAAGCTGCCTTGAGCCCTTTGTAGGAAAAAGGCAGGATATAAATTGAAAAATAAATAAATGCTGAATGGGAGGATGGGGAGACGAAGATTACCTCTGTTGTTGCTTCTACTCTGCATTGGAGGCCTGCAAGCCACTTTTTTGAGAAGATGGGTGTTTCTAGACATTTGAACAGGACTGCACCCTAAGACTTTTTACTTGCTGCTTAAAAGTTAACAAAGTAGGTGCCAAAACTGAAATTTCTTGAGGAAAGTTGCACAGCTGGGGTTCCATCACTGCAAACAGCCTCACAGGTTACTACCTACTGAACCTCTGATAAAGATCTTGGGGCACATTCCTATGCATGTTAAGGCAGAAAATCTCCTGCAACTCACAGCATTCTCTGGCCAGGATGACTGGCTGGGGCACACCAGGAGTTCTGGACTCTCTTCTGTCTAAACATACAAACATTGCTGCCTTAAACAATGGGCAGATTCACATAGCCTTCCTGAAGCCATAAATGACTTTATAGGTCAGAAGTATCTCTGACTAGGGCAGGTTGCAGCTGGCATACCAGCCTGAGCTGGTGAAAGGTGTTTTCTGTCGCAGGTGCCAAAGAAAGGGCTGGATGTAGGATGTGGGCCCAAGCTGCAAAGTGGGATACAGCACAGTCCAGAACAGAAAAAATACTCTTTGAGAATTGGTAGGCCTTCTATCATACAAAAGAAGATGGGGGAAGAGGGGGAGAGATCTGTTATGTGCCTAATATGGAAAATAAGGTACTTTTGTGAAAGAATTTTAATTGGAACTGGTCAATTTTTAAAATTCTGTGATAACATCTGTTAACAGCTGAGCTTAGTAAGCAGCTATTTGACTGAGCTGTACAAACTATACAGAAAATCAAACTTTAATTTAGGCAAGCATGTTCAGATTTTGTAAAGAATCACTCTTCTGGGCTTCTGCAGCAAGTAGAAATACTTCCAGGTTCTCTCGCACTCCTTTGGGCCTCAAATAGCTATGGTAAACATGTGCAGGCAGTTCACTGGGCTACGTAGTGGACGATGCAAACCTGTTCTTTTTCTCAGGAAACTTGCACTTCAAAGTGATATGGAATTTCAGATTTGTTTCATAGAGTCTGCTTCTTATTTCCCTGTATTTTGTTGAGCCTTTCAATTGATGAGTGGAAGTGTCCACTGAAGGTAGCTTCCATAATAACTTTCTGTACCTCTCCCCTCCCCCGCCCACAGTTGTACTTTGTTTGCTGTCTTGTCTGCTGAACAGTCCTGGAAAGTCTGAAAACTTGCAATAGTATTTTGTGACCTTTGAATTGGCCTAATAAAGGTATCAGGATGGATTTCAAACATTTCCTTTGGGCAACATGGCTATCTTTGCTTTTTGTATTCCATAGTTCTTTCTCAAGATAAACACTGTGAAGATAGCATCCTTTTCCTATGGCTAAGAGTGCAAAACATCTTAAGCTGTGATCCGCCATTGTTATTGTTTGCAGGCTTGGATAGTGTGCTGCTTCCTCATGGTCTCTTTGCATCTGCACCTGTGTGGAGGCTTGTTGGGGAAGCTTCCTTAACAAAGGAAGCATAAGGTGCAAGAATCTTGCACATTCACTGTGCTAATTGGCACTGATGAGGGCTGAAGTCCAAAGGTAGCAGGTTGGGAAAGGCTGCCATAAACCATACAAGACTATGTATCTGTATATGGCAGTCTCCTTATCAGAATCCCCATAGCTAGAAACCCTTTTCCACTGTCCCTTAATGGGTCTCCAGCTATTCCCTCAGTTTCTCTTTGACTGGTATGGTGGTTCCTTGGGAGGAGCTTCTTCCCTGTTATTCAACAGAAATAGTGCCAATGAGCTGTATAGTTTTCTTTCTTAGTTATTTTTATTGTCTTTTTGTTTTGTTTTTTTCTTTGGTGTGGTCCTTTGTTGCTTTTTGTAGTTTGTTTTTTTTCCAAAGTAAATATTGCAGATTGCTTACTCCTCATAAGTTTATGAGTTCAACACATTTTGGACTCACATTTACAGTTGATTGCAGACTTGTATAGTGTCCATAAATTATCATGGTGTACTATGTAGTGCCTTTTGAGTTTGTGCCTACCCTACAAAGCAGGTGAGGCAACATTTGAAAAAGGGTAGAGAAGGGGAGACCTCACAAAGGCAGATACAGAGACCTCTCAGTTTCGAAGGAAAGAGGAAGTGGAGGCAAAAGGGTGGGGGAGCAGGAGTCATAAGCAACCAAGTCTTTATTTTTAGATCAGATTTTCAAAATAGTCAGTTTAGT